AGACTCAGACCGAAACCACCCCTTTGGTCATTAGTTATAATCCAGCATTACCCAAACTTGCGCATATCATTCACAAGCATTCTAACTTGTTTCACTCATCGGTGTAGAAATATTTTTAAAAACCTTCCGTTAGTAGCTTATCGCCGTCCTAAAAATATTAGCGACATCCTCGTTAGAGCCCAGCTTACTAACAGCACCAACAGCAGTAACTCCCGACCCACCCCCGGTTCCTTTCGGTGTAACAACAGGAATTGCACCACCTGTCCCTGTGTTATTCTGTGTGAGTTTAAATAAAATTGACTTGACTTGACTTGACTTGACTTGTGCCTATATTGAACTTGGCCGTAATCGATACACTTTTCATTCTACAGGTGACACTCACCACAACAAATCTCATCGATTACTTGTGAAACTTTTAATGTTATCTATTTGATTCAATGTCGCCTGTGTAATGTACAATATATTGGAGAAACTAAACGTCGCCTCAAAGACCGTCTTAATGAACACAGACGACCTATACTCAACCCTACTGGTAATTACATCCATAATGCAGTTTCAGAACACTTTCTTACCAGTAATCATTCAGACAATCATATGCTATTGATTCCTACTGAAAAACTTAAAAATGGGCGTGATTCTTTCAGGAAAGCACCTGAAGCCCACCTTATCCATGAAGCTAAGACAACTGAGCCTCTGGGCATAGCCTGGGCATCAATAAACGTGATGAACTGTAACTATATGTAGTATATCTTTTATTTTTATTTATTTTTTTGTTGTTTTGTCTTTTTAAGTAGCCACACCATACCACGTCATATTATGTAATTTCCGGACATTTTTTAACTTATATATTTCTGTAAATTCGATTCGTGATATCTCAATAAACCTGATGAAGACTGGTATTGGCCAGTCGAAATATCGCAACTTAACTCTATTTCACGTTGTTCGATCAGTCCCTGCAAAAGTCTTCTTGACTGTAACGTTTTCATATTTATAGTGACAAGCCTACAGTAAATGAAAGCTAACCATTTCGAGTCAGTGCTTAGTCCTAATCACTATTTTCAGAAGGCTTAGCGACAAGTTGCCGATAAAGGTGTCTAAATGTTGCTTAAAATTGCTATTTCATTTTTAAAGTTGCAGAAAAGTTGTTGAATTTTGAAAAAGGTTCCGAATAATTGCTAATTGTTTTACTTGTTTGTACTTGAAGTTGGTTTTATTGCGGTTTTGACCGGCCGGGTTCGTCTGGTTATTTTTTTTTTGTCTAGCTGTTTAAGCTTTCTCGGGAGTAGTGAGATTTGCCCCCAGCAGTTTAAGTTTCCTCAATAGGATTAATCGGGCTTTCATCTGCACGTTGTTTCCAGCTGGAATCTGAATCACTGACGGTGTTGTCGGCCATCTTGAAAAACGTGTCATGTGATACCGCTGACCCCATGAACAGTCGTGCAACACCAAGCTGTCATTGGTAATCTAGGCCAGTCCTGGAGTCCACACACTCACACAGTAGTATAAACCAGTTGGATTTATCTGACTTTTCTTTTGAAAGCTAAAAAAAGTCGCGAAAAAAGTAAAAAAATAATTTTTAAAACAGTAACAAAATCAAAAGTTGCCGAGCATTTTGAAATTTGCCGAAATTCTCATAAGTCTCCGAAAAGGTGCCAAGCAACTTGTGGCTAAGCCTAATTGTCAATGCTTAACCCTAGTCACCATAACGCTTTTCGCAAATTTGTGAAATGTCATAACCTAAGATCATAGAAATAAAGAGATTACGTAATGAACGCCAGAAGACTTATTTCTTCTTTCGGTTTGTTCACACCTTATCTACAACATCCATTTGCGAACTTTGCCGAAACTAACGCAGGTAACCCGCAAACACGGTTGTTGTACGTGCTGGTAGCCGATTTTCGGCCATTTTCTCTTTTGTTTGACCCTCTGAGGTTAAAAATAGACTTGAATTTTTGCCCCGGGGACTAAAAAGGTCCCTGATGTATGTCGTCTCATTCTGTTAGTTAGCAATGTTATTTTTACTGGGGAAGTTAAAGGGGCAGTGTCCCGATTATGCGCACGCGCGAGCGTCAGCTGTTTTTTCTTCAAAAGACAATAGAACTGTCATATTGACTCGACAAGATTTCCTTCCGAACCGCACCGCCGACGAAGATTTGTTGTTTACATTCTCAAGTGATATTTTTGATTTCGCGGCACGAAGACTCATCCCGATTTTATCACTAGCAGGGCCGCCTCGCGACCCGAAAATCTCGTTCTGCTCGCTTTAAAAACAGCCTTTGTAATGTGAAACTCTTGTCAGAGGTCAATTGTTCCAAGTCCAGCGATATTTGTCTGATTTGCTCGAGTTCTAGCCTGAAACGTTTGAAAGATATAAATAAAAATGTAATCTCAACGCTATGAATCATCACAAACGTTAGTCAAAAAATTATATTACAATTTCATTGCACTAGCGTTTTCTTAACATGTAGCGCCTGTTTGTTTGATTTTGTCGGCCGTAGAGAGGTTCATTCAAGGGTTTACTAACGCGTCGTTGCAAAACATTCTGCTTTTCAACTTCAACTTCAACTTCAACTTTATTCATTCACTTTCAATTTACAATTTCACGATAGCTTCCACCCGCGTATAGGAGAGCCTAATTGGGGCGGGGGAAGAGACACACAAATTTAACGAAAGAAAAGAAAAAAAGAACTATTTTACAAACAGTACCAGCTGTCGCAAAATAAAAACTATAGTATGTATTAAGCTAATTTAATTGCAATATGATTTACACAGAGAATATAAATTTAGTTGTCTTCCTGAGCTACTTAAATTTAAGTTGATGCATGATTTCAGTGATTTCAAGATAGTCATCAGATTTAGATAAAATTTCAAAGAGCTTATTCCTTGTCTTTTTCCGAAAGGTAGATTTTGGTAAGTTTCTCATATCTGAGGGTAAAGAATTCCAGATTTTTGGTCCAACTCTTAGAAAAGAACTACGCATTTTTTCAAGCCTTGAGTGTTCGGTATAGAAATCATCATTGAGAGAAGATCGGGTAGGATATGAGTGCACCTCAGAAATCCTAGTAAAGGCTCTCTTGATATTTTCAGGTGCAGAATTGTTAGCAACGTCCCACATGATACTACAAAGGTAATCAAAGTAAATAAAAGATGGGGGAAAGACTTTTGATTTTAAGAAAAATGGTACAGCATGTTGCTTATAATCCGTATAGTAAATCAGGCGTAGGGCTCGTTTTTGAATTAAGAGTATCTTATTTGAATAAGTTTTAGGTGCAGAGCCCCAAGCACAGATGCCATAATAAAGATAGGGGTTGAAAAGGGCTTGATAGATATTTAAGAGGGACGTAATGGAATACTATGTCTAAGCTTTGCTAGAATTCCCACGCTTCTACTTATCTTTAAACAGATTAGATTAATATGGTTTTTCCAGGAAAGTTCATAATCAATCAGAACACCAAGGTATTTGACAAAATCTTTCTTTTCTAAGGTACTCAATGCATCTATAGCTGGATCATAAGCTTTGATGGAGGGATTATATGTTAAACATTTCTGCCGAGGACGGAAAAGCACGTAATTAGATTTTTTGAATTAAGGGTTAGCTTATTGGCTAAAAGCCAGTCACTGACATTACTTAGTTCAGAATTAACTATCTGTTCAAGATTATGGAGATTCTTGTTTGCATAAATAATGCTTGTATCATCAGCAAATAAATAGAACGAAAGATACTTTGAAGAATTTGCAATGTCATTCACATGCAATAAGAATAAAAGTGGGCCCAGCACAGAGCCCTGTGGAACACCATACAAAGTTGTTTCACTGTTGGAAATATAAGAGCCATTTGAAGCGGTTTGTTTCCTATGGGTTAGGTAAGATCGGAACCAATCATTAACAATACCTCTGATGCCATAAAAATCAAGTTTTTGAAGAAGAATATAGTGATCAACAGTATCAAAGGCTTTTTTCAGATCTATAAAGAGTCCACAGGTGAATTTACCACTATTCATATTACTCTGAATTGTATTAACAATATCCAGAATTGCATGTTGAGTATTATGACCACTCCTAAAGCCATATTGGGAGTTAATCAATATATTGTGCTTAATGATAAATTTACTAAATCTTTGATACATTAGTTTTTCAAATATTCTACTGAATATAGACAAAAGAGAAATAGGCCTGTAATTGCTTGCGCAGGACTCATGATCATCTTTATAAACTGGCACAATCTTCGCAAGTTTTAGTTTGCTGGGATGTTTACTTTGGATGCCAGATAAATTGTAAATGTTAGCAAGTGGCTGGCTAATAATGTGTTTGCAGTCTTTTAGGATTTTAACAGGACAAGAGAACATGCCATAGACTTATACAAGGGCAAGGCCTGAATTTGGGCACTGACATCATTGGGAATAATGGGTTCAAAGTTAAAAGAGTTTGGCAAACGGTTGTTAGTGAGATATTCATTAAATGAGTGCTTAGAAGGTGGTAGTTTGGAAGCAAGCTTATGTCCAACTCTAGCAAAATGCTTATTAAGCACATTTGAGATTGCACTAGGGTCAGTTGAGAGACTACCATCAGGTTTTTTAATAATAGAAATTTGGTTTACTTTCTTCTTGGAGGTAGATATTAGGTTATTAATCCCTTCCCAGGTTGCCTTCATATTATTAAGATTTAGTTCGAAAAAGAAGTTGTAGTAATTCCTTTTACTTAAACGAGTTAACAGTGATAATTTATTACGATACAATTTGCACTCATCCATAGACCATCGTGGTATAACGTGTTTTTCTTACGTATAGAGGTGAGTAAGCCTTTGGTTATCCAAGGCTTTGCCATCTGCTTAGATTTACGTCTAGATACTGTTTAAAAAATGCATGCTTATCAACTAGTCTGTTAAGTTTGTTGTAAAAGACATTCAATGCACAGTCAGCATCAGAGTTAGGGGGCCAGGTGATTAGCTCGAGATCATTGTTGAAATCAGTTTGGTTAAATGATGAAAGATCAAGTTTGCGGATTCTACTATTAGAAATTATCTTAAGGTTGCTAGACAGGAGGCAAACCTGTGAGTAATGGTCACTGATGTCGGACACAATGTTACCACTCAGTACAAACTTATCTAGGCTATTAATGAAAATATTATCAGTTAAGGTAGCGGAGCTACCATAAGACCTTGTGGGTTTATCGATAGTTGGAAGTAGAGATAGACTTTGTAAAGTTTCAAAACGTTTTTGGCTATAATCGCAGCTCTCAATTTTAAGGAGATCTATATTGAAGTCACCAAGTAGGATAATTTCATTATTTCGGGCGCAGAGAGTTTCAATTTTGCTTGACAGATAATCTAGGAAATGATCTGGACAATTGTGCTGCCTATAGACCACTCCACAGTTGATGTTTTTTCCTTTGCGCACGTTAAATTCACACCACAAGGCTTGAAATGATGATGTAGATTCCTTTTCTAGAATTCTGTAGGGGATAAGCTCATTTATGTAAAGCCCAACACCTCCAGCTGATAGAGGGGTTGATACATGTTCAAAATTGTAGCCAGGTAAATTTGGATTGAAAAGTAATGGTTTATCCTTAACTATCCTAGTTTCAGATACTCCAATTATACTGAAATGAGTATCAAGCTCATTAAGTAGATGATTCTGGAGGTTTTCAAGATTTTTGCTAAGACTTCTAATATTATTATGGAAGATAGAGAAAAAACTGTCAGGCTGGGCTAGCCTATGTTTTTGCCAGAGGAAATTATGAGGAGAAAAGAAGTTACATCTAAGTTGGCTATGAGCACTGCTGCTGACTTTGACCTGTTGATCTGTAGGTACATTCAAATTAAAGAGGTCATGGTCAAATAAGCTCTTAAATTTGTCAAGTTGATTTCTGGACAAAGCGGATGTGAGCAAATTATTAAATTGCTGATGTGCAGAAGCAAGATCTTTGCACCCATAGTAAGGTAGTTCCTTAAGTAGTAGTTTGTTTTCTCTCTCTACTCTTTTGTCACGTAAGGGCATGAAAAGAAGAATAATTAATAATACATTTAGCGTACCTGAGATTGTTTGTCCGTGCGACGCAGATATTAACATGTCCGTACGATGCAAATATTAGTCCATAAAACATCACTAAATATACATATCCATAGCGCAGTTTAAGGCGCTGAGCCAGAGCTTAACTTCGCTAAATCATCCATAGAATAGAGCTTGAAGATCCGAGACGTATCGGTTTCTCTCATGAGGACAGCTCCATTTTTGGCCTAGCAAAATTTAAATTTTAATTGTTGTTGACACTTTTTTGATTCGTAGAGTAGCTGTTGTAGCTTTGGCGTTAAGTGTTCGAACATTCTTGCTGAGCCTAAAAGCACATCATCTGGCAAACCAATTTCAGAAGGATTTATCGTGGAGATTCGAACTCTTTGCTGCATTATCTCTTGAATGGGTAACCGACGGGTAAATTTGCATATGATGGCGTTGTGCGAAGACCTCTCGTCTTCACTCCTCGTAGATCTCTTCGGAACACGATGTGCTATATCGATGTCGTTGATGGTAACACTAGCACCGATCTGTTGAAATATTTTGACACAGAGGTTGGCCGTTGCCGTCGCAGTCTCGTCAGGTAGCTCAGGTATTCCTACGAGCTTTAGGTTACACTGATAGCTGTAGGCTTCCAAGTTGTCGATGGCTTGCGCTAGGTCGTTTACCTTCTTAGAGATAGTATTGAGTGAGGCTGAAAGTTCCTTAAGTCTTGTGGACGCTTTTTTCTGGAAAGCTTGAAACCCGTCATATTGTTCACTTACGAACTCAATGCTGTTTTCCATGTCATTCAGGAAACCTGAGGCGCCACTGTTCTGCTGTTCCGTTTGCCGCTGGTGATTCGCGACTAATGCCTTCCAGTCTCGAATTTCTTTCGTAAGAACTGATATTTGGCTTTTAAGGTCATCATTTTCCTTTTTAAGAGCTTGATAGTTGTTAGTTTTGTTAACCATATTGATAATAGTAAGTCAGAAAGCAAGATTATTATCGGAGCTCAGAAACACGCGTCCATCTTGCATTACGTCACGTGCCCATCATTCTTTACGAAGCTTAATTCCACAAGATTTCCTGAGTCGCATCAATGTCTCTATTGTAGCTGTTTCATTTCTGCGTATTCCTTTTACAATTACCTGAGCTTGTATTGAAGCTGGCAGAAGAGAAAAGCTTTCAATCGGCATCAAACAGTGATCAAAGGGCTTCCCATCTTTTGGGACTCCGGCCAACGGCAAAAAAAGTAACGCCAAAAATCCCGACTTCGCCCTTATCGAAACTTAACCGGAACAATATATCATTGATCTGTAATCCTGAGAAGTTTTAGTGTAGTATTGAACTCGGGCCAAGTGCGATGCAAACGAATTTTTTAAGGTTCTCTTACTCTCCTCGTATCTTTTGAATTCGCGACATCCTGTCCGAAAATCACAGTTTGGTGCATGCACAGTAACTGGATACTGTTCCTTTAAGCCATCGGCCGATCCCAAAATAATAAAACTTCTAACATTCGATAACTTGTTTTCGCCACTACGACATTTTCGCTAAAACTCGTGGTAGAATGAAGACGGCTATCACGTTTTTCGCCAAAATGACGCTAGTTCACGCTCGAGCACTACTAATAATGGAGAAAATCTCGTTCTCCTAGTCGCTGGCGAATCTAAGGGCCAATTTTTTAAACGGAGTATAGCACGTGTTTAACAAAACTGCGTTCTAAGCCATTTTTCAGTTTCCACAACGCTTTTGTCTTAACACCATTTATCGTGAACAATTTCAATAAGAATATAGCGTAGACTAGAAAAACACTTATTTTCTAATACTTACCCACTAAGAAAAAGATCGAGGGGTCCAATGATTTCTTAATAAACCGCATCCTAAGTTAGAATTCGTTTAAATAACCGCCCGTAAACGTTCCTTGATGCTAAGGAAGCCACGGTATGTATTGCAGAAAAGCTTACCTCAATCGCGATGGGTCTTCATGTGCCTGTTTCTCCTTGAGGACATAAAGGAATATTTTTTTTTCCGCAGACATTTTCCAAATAGCAGAAGACGTCCGTCAAGTTGTATTCTTGCTATGATTTTAGGCAGTGTTTCGGCTATTGTTGATTTTGCAATGACGTCACCAAAATTCAAACTACAAAACTATCGATCCTACTGAGATTTTACTTTCATGATGTATTAGAGCAGCTGAAAACTAATTTTCATGCAAATTTTCGCTTCAAAAGAGTTCTTGGTTTTGTGATAGAGTACGCTTGAATTTCTAAGCTTTTGCGTGACGTGGCATTTACATGACGGCCGAGAGAGCTGTCATGTACGTTAAAAAGTGACGTTTTTCGGGGAATTTTGCTATCTTAACAGTTCATGTATTAGAAAAAGTATTACCTTAATGTTTATGAGTTCCTCAAGGAAACAATTCACGCTTGTGTACCAAAACTCGGTAACAGATGTTTTTGTTCGTTTCCGTCCGCCATGTTGGTGCCGATCCAGGTGGGCACCAGCATGGCGTCTCCACACAAATGTCTAAAAATTTGGGTAAAACATTTCTTCGAATATCTCGTATATGGAATATTCTTCTGACCTGAATCTTGACGAGGGTCTTTGTATATCTACCACCTTTCATTTCCCAGATTCCGGACTAAGCCTATTGAACGGTTTTGATTTTAATTTTGATCTATTTTGAATGGAGTGACACTGAAAACCAGCAATTTCTTCGTCGCGAAACGTTTGAAGAGCGACGGTCAGGAAATATCGACCATCGAGTAGCAAGAGTTGAAAAATCGATTTCCTTCTTTTTTTGTCCATAAATAGCTTTTAGGTAGATAAGTAATCTGATGTAAGTTGTTTTCGCAAAAAGCCTTTTATTTTCGAGAAAAGTAAGAATATTAGTTTTCGTGGTCGGAGTCTCAAAATGGCCTTATTTTCAACCCGAAATTTGCTAACATCAACTCTCCTCGTGTTCGCAAATAAAGGCGCAAGGAGAAATTTGAACACTTTCCATCAATAGAACAACTGTTCTTCTTTCACTTGAAGATACGTTCAAACCAATATCAAGAATCGTTGAACTGACATAATTCACAAACGAAGAACAGGTTTTTACGGTGACAAAAACTTTAATTTAGTAGTTGTTTTCTGCGGCATTATTTTTCCTGTGGTATAGCTCCGAATTTTCCCAGTCCTTGTTTATTCACACATTTAGACATTCACTTAAAACAGACCTGAGAATTGGCTTGGGTTCCTGAAGGCAGCCTCCAAACGAAAGCATCGAAGTCCGGTAAATATAGTGAAGCGTGACCAAACTAACTTATTTAACGGCATCAAGTTTCCTCGATCGTAAAGTAACAAGAAGAACTATCTTCCTCTTTCGTCATCCTTAGCGAATTACCATTGTTAAAGTCCTTATTTTTCGATAAAAAGTGAGTACCAGAAAACTAGCGCGTTTGATTACTGACTGTCGGCATCGAAAATGTTACTCTTTCAAGAATTCCATTGCGTTACTACCTTGATTCCGTGACAGTCATTTTGACGGCTCCGTCTCTTCAAATGTATGTTCTGTCACGTGCAGTCACGGAACAGATTGTCACGCAGAGTCGCCGGCTGCTGGAGTTCAGTGTTTTGAAAGTGGCTACTATTGACCCATTTTGACCTTTTTACCCCACTCTTTGGATGAAAAAACAACTTTGCAATGGGAAAACCCACAAGAAGTACGAAAAACGAGCCTTTAGGCTGTAAATATCTACTTTTGTGCGTTTCGAAATTGGAAGTGTTTACACAATTACCGCCGGCCTACAATGAAAATTCCTGAACTTCGATGGTGTCTTACACAGATTTCCTTTAATAACCCAAGCCAATTCCCAGGTATGTTTTAAATGAATGTCTAAATGTGTGATTTAAATAGCATGAAGAGAATTTGGAGTTATACCCCATGCCTAGGGGGGTGGGGGTAGTCGAAAATGAGTAACGAACTTAAGTTTTTGTCATCCTGAAAACCTATCCCTCATTTTTTAATTATTTCAGTACGACTAGCTTCGCTATTGCCCTGAAAGTATCTCTAGTGGAAGAAGAAGAATTTTTCTGTTCATTAGAAGTGTCCAAATTTCTCCATGTGGCTTCGTTTGCGAACGCGGGGAAAGTTGATGTTAGCGAATTCCAGGTTAAAAATTAGGGCACATCGAAAACCGATCTTCTAATTTTTCTCACAAATAAAAGGCTTTTGGCAGAAACAATCTACATTAGGCTTCTTATCTACCTAACAGCTATCTATGAACAAAAAAATGAAAGGAATTGATTTTTCAACTCTTGCCACGAAATCAAGATTTTGGTCGGTTTTT